GGGGGTGTTTTACCCGCTGTGGGGTGGCCCGTGGGTCGCCAGCCCCGCGCGGTCACACGGTTCGGGTCTCCAAGTGCTCGGGCAGGTTTTTTTGGCTCACACAGGCGTCAGGAGCGGGCAAGAAGGTTCACCGCCCTGGTTGCCCCCCGAGGTAGCCACATCCACCCCCAAACCTGGTGACGTCACACACCACGAAGTCACACGGCGTCCCCACACAGCTTTCCCACGTTAGATGGAGGGGGCATCTTCCTTCCCAAAATCAGGACCTCCAGCCCTGAAGATGGCACGTCCCTGAGACCCTCCAGTCCCATCTCCCAGACCTCAGTGCCAGCCTCGCACTAAGATGAAGCTCAATCTCAGTGTGGGGTGTCCCAGCCCTGGCCCCAGGACACCCCAAAACCAGCCCAGCACAGGTCCCAAGCAAGGGGAACCGGTGCAGCAAGAGCACAGAGCCAAATGGGCACCCCGGCACCACCGGGAGACGGCCCTGCAGGGAAGGTCACGGAGCAGGAACCACCATCTCCATGGTCATCCCAGCCCAGAGAGGTGCCACCACCCCTGGGGATGGAGCGTGGAATCCAACGCCAAAGGAGACAGGTTCTTCTGATGCTTTTCACCCCCAAAACGAGAACAACACAAGACCTAAAGCCCTGGCGAAGGAGGTGGGACATCGTGAAGGGATGAGTTTTGGGTGCCATCACCACATTCCTTGGGCTTTTGGGGCTGGGGCAGGTGGGAGGGGAGCCAGAAGAGGTTTAAAGCAGCAGGAAAAGAGGGATGAGAAGAACATTCATTTAGGCCAGAAGGGATGGAGAACTTCTTCCTTATCGTGATGAAGAGGAGACACTGTCCTTGCGCAGCACAAACCCAAGGCTGGTGGGCCCAAATATGACCTACAGTAACAAATTCAAGTTGTGTTTTCCTTCAGTTTTTTTAAGGATTGGTAAAAAGTATCTTCTGGACATTTCTTGGTCCCACAAGCACTGCCTTTGGGGCAGCTACTCAAGGGTTGACCCTTCCATCTCTAGGAGAGATGTTCCAGGGAGGCAACTCCCAGGGCAAACGGCAGCGCTGGTGGGAAGGTGCCACACCCTCCTCCTCCTCCTCTTTTGAACTCAGCTGGTGGGGGAGGAAGTGGCTTCTGGGGGGAGCTGCTGCTCTGAGACACCTCAGGACATGAGGCTGGGTGCTTCCTGGAGATGCCAAAAGCTGGAAGGACAAGCTCCTGCGAGCAGACAGGCTCCAACCAGGAGCAGAGCCTCAGCTGAGCACACACAGGGCAGGGCTCAGCTTCTCTTCAGCTTCTCCCTCAGATTCTCCCCAGCTTCTCCCTGAACTTCTCCCCAGTTTCTTCCCAACTTTTCCCTCAGCTTCTCCCCAGATTCTCCCTCAGCTTCTCCCTCAACTTCTCCCCAATTTTTCCCTCAGCTTCTCCCTCGTTCTCCCCAACTTCTCCTTCAGCTTCTCCCCAGCTTCTTGGCCTCTGTGAGGCCAGCACTGTGATGTGTCTGACCGTATCCAGCCATGAGAGCTCGAGCCACAAGTTGGGGATGGAGACACTGCCCGAGCCAGGGCAGACCTGGACTTGGCCTGGCGAGCTCCCATCCCAGGACGTGGTGGGACATGGAGTTGCCAGTGCTTGGTTGATTCCCACCCCATCCAGCTCCACCTCCCACTCAACCCTCGTCGGCAACATGTGACCTCCCAGGGCTGTCAAGAAACAGATGCAGACAGATTTTTTTTTAATGCTTTGTGAATCCAAGGGATAAAGAGATACCTCAAACCACTCTAGGCTCCAGCTGGTGTTCCAGAGTCGAGGACAATCCAGGCACCCTTCAAACTGTGGATGCTGCTCCCCCGCCACTCATCCCAGCTCCTTCTGCTTCATTAACCCCTTCTTTGCTCCCTGATGGATCTTGGCATCCAGCTTCCCTGGAAAGAGAGGAAGAGAAAACGCCAAGGCGTGATAACTCCTCGGTGCTCCTGCTCTTGAAACGCTCTCTGCAATGCAAAGCAGCTGGAGGCACCAAGGTCTCCTAGTTAGCGTGTTCCTGTCACATCCCATTAATGTCCTTGAGGAACCAGGCGTTCCCAGCCTGCCCGATGGAATGCTGGACATGGAGAAATCCAGCCAGGAGGAGAAGAACTCGACATCCAGGTACCCAAAGCAGGCTGCTTTGGTGGGACTTGAATAGGACCTGGCCAGGCTGGATCGATGGGCCAAGGCCAATGGGATGAGGTTCAACAAGGCCAAGGCCCGGGTCCTGCACTTGGGTCACAACAACCCCCTGGAACACTCCAGGCTGGGGGAAGAGAGGCCGGAAAGTGCCTGGTGGAAAAGGGCCTGGCAGGGTTGGTGGAGAGCTGCCTGCAGATGAGCCAGCGTGTGCTCAGGTGGCCAAGAAGGCCACCAGAATCCTTGCCTGGATCAGCATCAGTGAGGCCAGCAGGGCTACAGCATGGATTGTCCCTCTGGGATGGGCACTGGGGACATGACACCTCAAATCCTCGCGTCAGTTTTGAGCCCCTCACTCCCAGAAGGACCTTGAGGGGCTGGGGCAGGGCCAGAGAAGGGCAACAAAGCTGGGGAAAGGTCTAGAGCCCAAGTGTGGTGAGGAGCAGCTGACGGACCTGGGGGTGCTGAGCGTGGAGCAAAGGAGGCTCAGGGGAGACCTTCTGGCTCTCCACAGCTCCCTGACACACGGCTGGAGCCAGGTGGGGGTCAGGCTCTTCTCCCAAGGAACAAGCAAGAAGACAAGAGCAAACAGCCTCAAGTTGCCCCAAGGGAGGTTTCAGTTGGCCCTGAGGAACAATTTCTTGCCCTTGAGGGTTGTCCAGGGCTGTCCCAGGCGGAGTCCCCATCCCTGGAAGGGTTTCCAAGCCGTGGAGATGTGGTGCTGAGGGACATGGGTCAGTGGTGACCTGGCAGTGCTGGGATGATGGTTGGATTCAATGATCTGAAAGCTCTTTTCCAACCAAAACAATTCTATGGTTCTATGACCCGAAGCCAATGCTGCCTCCCCTTGCCCTTCAGAGCCCTTGGTGACTTCTCTGCCAGCTCCACTTTCCCACCTGGCAGAGGAGCAGGACAACAGAACATGGCATTTGGGCAACGCCTGCAAGAAACCAAAAGCCAGGCCCAGCGAGCAAGCCGGGTGGGCGATGGAGGATCCTTGGAGGAACGTCACTGTCCCCCTCTCCTTGCCCATGATAAAGCAAGGATGGTCTTCTTCCTCCAGAAGGGAGAGGAAGAAAAGAACGGTGACCTTCAACAAGGCAGCACAGCAAAGAGCCAGCCTCCTGGAGAGCCCCATCAAGCCTGGCCTTGGATGTCTCCAGGGATGGGGACTCCACCACTTCTCTGGACAGCCTGTTCCAGTGTTTCACCACCCTCCTAGTGAAGAACTTCTTCCTCATGTATCATCTAACTCTCCCCTGTTCTAGTTTAAAACCATCACCTCTTGTCCTGTTTCTACACACCTTTGCAAACAGTCCTACCCCAGCTCTCCTTTAGGCCCCTTCAGGTGCTGGAAGGCCACCAGGTGGTCTCCCTGAAGCCTTCTCTTCTCCAGGTTGAACAACCCCCGCTCTCTCAGCCTTGCCTCACAGGAGAGGTGCTCCAGCCCTCAGATCATTTTTGTGGCCTCCTCTGGCCCTGCTCCAACAGGTTCATGTCCCTCCTTTGTTGAGGGCATCAGAGCTGGATGACCTCACCACTCAGCTTGGTGTCATCTGCAAGCTTGGGAGAAGGAAGCTGTGGGAAGAGGAAGCTGTGGGAGAATGGTGCTTCTCTGAGTGGAGAGGAGGGAGAAAACCCTCAAACCTGGTCATCAGCTCTGCCAAGCAGCCAAGACTATTTCTGCTTCTGCTGCTTTTAGCTCGTCAAATTAATTTTTCAAGCCTTCCCCGGGCTGCTGACCAGGCTGGAGCTCCCTGGCTGCTCCATCCCTCCTCCCATTTATTTCCAGAGTAGTTGGCAGCCCATGGAGGGTCTGGTGGCTCATAAAAGGGACTAGGGACGTTGGCAAGCAAAGCATGGGCAGATGCTGCAGCACTTCCCCACGAGTTCTGCCAGGACTGCCCATCCTGCCAGCCTGAAGATGGAGAACATCCATCTGGTTCCTGGAGCTCTCGCTGCTTTGGGGCCTCACTCAGGGGTCATTCTGAACCACAGGCAAGGATCTAGCCTGGATCATGGAGTCACAGACTGGCAGGGGTGGGAAGAGACCTCTGGATATCATCTCATCCAACCCCCCTGCTCCAGCAGGTCACCCACAGCAGAGTGCCCAGGATGGTGTCCAGGTGGGTTTGGAATCTCTCCAGAGAAGGAGACCCCGCAACCTCTCTGGGCAGCCTGCTCCAGGCTCTGCCACCCTCACAGCAGAGAATTTTTCTCCTCCTGGCCAGGTAGAACTTCCTGGGTTCCAGCTGGTGCCCGTTGCCCCTTGTCCTGTCACTGGGCACCACTGACACAAGTCTGGCCCCAGCCTCTTGACCAGCATGGATCAGATCCCCTCTGAGTCTTCTCTTCTCCAGCTCAACAGCCCCAGGGCTCTCAGCCTTTCCTCATCCCAGAGATGCTCCAGGCCCCTCAGCATCTTCAGAGCCTCCAGAGCTGGACCCTCTCCAGTATCTCCTTGCCCCTGCGGAACTGGGGAGCCCAGAACTGGACCCAAGACTTCAGAGGTGGCCTCAGTAGAGCAGAGTAGAGAAGAAGGAGAACTTTCCTCAGCCTGCTGCCCCCACTCTTCATGCACCCCATGAGACCATTGGCCTTCTTGGCCTCGAGGGCCCATTGCTGGCTCATGGTGACCTTTGCTCTCCCCCAGCACTCCCAGGTCCTCCTCCGTGGAGCTGCTTCCCAGCAGGTCACCCCTCACCTGTAGTGGTGCAAGGGAGGTTACTCCTCCCCAGGGGCAGGATCCTACACGTCTAGGAAGAGGGGAACTGGAGACAGCAGAAACCAAAATATATTACAGATTTATCTGAGTCATTAAACAAAGATCTCCAGCTCCAGGAGCAAGGGGCTAAAGGTTGTGAGCTCATCAAGCAGGCACCAAAGGCCCAGGGGGGCATCTGTGGTGACTTTACTACTTACAGATTTTTTGTTTTCCTTTGATGGGAAACTTCACAACCATCTCCTGGGGATTGGTGCAGATGAAGACAAATGGAGACCCCGACTCTTGGCTCAGATCTGGAAACTGTGAAACAAAAACACACAAAACCCAGAGTCAGATCAAGTGTGGGTCAGGAGCTGAGGAGTTGGAGTTTGTTTAAAGGATCAGTCGTGTCTAGGCTCAGACTAAACCAGGTCAAGAATTTTTATTGGAGTCCTCAGCACAGAGACAGGGACCTGCTGGAGTGGGGCCAGAGGAGCCCCAGCAATGACCCGAGGGGGGAACCCCTCTGCTGGGAGCCCAGCAGGAGAGAGTTGGGCTTGGGCAGCCTGAGAGGAGAAGGCTCCAGCTGGGGAGACCTTCTGGGGGCCTGCCAGGACTTCAAGGGGCCTGTCAGAAAGCTGGGGACAGACTTTTGAGAAGGGCCTGTTGGGGCAGGACATGGGGGGATGGTTTGAAACTCAAAGGGGGAGATGGAGATGAGAAAGATGGAAGAAAGTTTTGGTGCTGAAGGTGGTGAGCCCCTGGCCCAGGTTGCCCCGAGAGGTGGTTGCTGCCCCATCCCTGGAACCATTCTAGGAGATTGGCCAAGGCTCTGAGCAACCTGCTCTAGTTGCAGATGTCCCTGCTGGGCAGTTGGACTAGATGACCTTTAAAGCTCCCTTCAAACCCAAACCAGACTATTCACCATGGGGGAAAAAGCACCAAGAAAATACACACACAGTGAGAGAAGCTCCCCAAAGTCTGTCTAGATGCTGCTCAGCCTCACCACTGTCCAGAAGTGAGATGTAAAACAGCAGTGAAGAAATTTATAGATCAGCCACCACTTCAGATCCTCCATGGGCCACAGACCTTGCGCTAAGAGGCACGGAGGAGAGGACACACCACGAAGGTGCTCCAGCCCAGGAAACTTTGTCCAAACAGACCACGGGAGCATGGTCCTAGGGAGTCCAGGTGGACCACCATGTTCCCTCTCTCAAACCTCACAGCCCCCCACACAGGGAGCATCCCCATAGCAGGTCCCCTGAGATCAGCAGTGAAGACAACAACCAGGCTGGGTTCTCCACCAACAGCTTTCACCCAAAACCAGGCTCCAACCTTCAGCTGCAAGAGCTTCCAGCTCAGCTGGAGAACATGGCTGAGGTGGATTCCATGGCTTCACACCCATTTCTGTACAAGTGCCCAATCCCTTCGTGTCCTGCTTTTTAACAGCCTCGCTCCTTCCTCTGGCAACTTGCTCCAGGGAGGTGGGAAGGAGCTCCTTGTCCTGCAGCTACATTTCAGGCTTCCTGTTGTACCTACCCTGGAAACCTCTTCTCCCATCCTGGTGAAGAACAAAAGTGAAATATTCCTACCTGCTGGAGCTGAGGAAAAGCTGTAATAGTTTCCTCTGCCTACAGACGAGATGCTCCCAGATGGAGAAGATGAAGCTGAGCACCCACAAGATGTTGAACCCTCACAAGATGCTGAACTAGGGTTCCCCATCTTCTTCTGGTCCCTTCCACAAGTCAATTCAACTCATTTATCCTGTAGAAATTTCAGGAGCTTTTGGGTGAAGTCACTTTTCTGGTGGGTTAATGGGTTGAACTGCTCAAAGAAGTGTCTGGTGAAGCTGGAGAATGGCAGGAGCACGTGGCCGGGGCCTGGTAGGAGCCTATAGATACTTCCTGATGAGATACATCTGCACTATCTCATCGGGTCACCAACACACTCAGGACAGTCAACGTGGCTGAACAGTGGCACTCCTCTAACACCACAGGTCTTTCTGCAGCTTCACTTGGCGCTAGGACATCGGCACCCACCTGCCCCATGCTGAAGATGCCTCCCCTAACAGTGACTGTTCAGCTGGAGCATGGCCAGAGAAGGGCAAAGAAGCTGCTGGGGAAGGGTCTAGAGCCCAATTGTGGGTAGGAGCAGCTGAGGGACCTGGGGGTGCTGAGCCTGGTGCAAAGGAGGCTCAGGGGAGACCTTCTGGCTCTCCACAGCTCCCTGACAGGAGGCTGGAGCCAGGTGGGGGTCAGGCTCTTCTCCCAAGGAACAAGCAACAGGACAAGAGGCAACGGCCTCAAGTTGCCCCAGGGTAGGTTTAGGTGGGACCTGAGGAACAATTTGTTCCCCATGAGGGTTGTCCAGAGCTGTGCCAGGCTGCCCAGGACAGTGGTGGAGTCCCCATCCCTGGAGGGGTTTCCAAGCCATGGAGATGTGGTGCTGAGGGACATGGGTCAGTGGTGACCCGCCAGTGCTGGGTTAACAGTTGGACTCAACCTTACAGGTCTTTCCCAACCAAAATAAGTCCACGATTCTCTGATTCAATGACTTAGGCTCTGAACTGAGACACTGCCACCAAGACACCAAACATGTTTGCCTCTGTTTTGGATTTTCCAATGTTGCCCAAGCATCTGATGAGGAACAAAACCTCATTTCTCAAAGTTGCTGCTGTAGGAAGCCAGCCGAGTCGCTCCACAACCTACAACATGCTAAGTTTAGGAGATAGAGAACAAAATCACTCCCAACTACTACACCCCACAGAGAGCGGCCACTTCCCATCAAGCTCTTCAGCAAACCCAAGACTTGTAGTAAAGGCCCAAAAGCCACATCTGGTGTGCCAGAGAGAGAAGACAAAGCCTGTCCCCAGTAGAGGAGCCACAACAGCAGCTGTTCAAATAAAAGATCAACTCAGAGGGAAACCACAATCCCTTCTCCACTGGAGACCAGGAATCAAACCCAGGCAGGGGTCTGATGGGGGATGATCCTTCTTCATTTCGAGGGCATTCATGGTTAGGATCCTGAGGGTGTATATAAGACAGGTGGCAGTACTCCAGGCTTTGACATCTCCCCTACCAGGTTGCAACTCAACTTCCAGATGCCAGGTTGGCCCTCAAGGAGAAAACCCACCCTCCTCCAATCCTGCAGATGAGCTGAAGAGCTCAAGAGAGACCTTCTGTTAGGGGTTGACCTGCTGCAAAGCAGCTCTGCAGAGAAGAACCTGGGAGTGCCAGGGGACAAAAAGGCCACCATGAGCCAGCAATGGGCCCTTGTGGCCAAGACCAATGGTCTCCTGGGGTGCATGAAGAAGAGTGTGGCCAGCAGGTGGAGGGATGTTCTCCTCCATCTCTGCTCTGCCCTAGTGAGGCCACCTCTGGAGAACTGGGTCCAGTTCTGGATTCCCCAGTTCAAGAGGGCTCCCGAGTTCAGCGGGAACAGGGAGCCACTGGAGAGAGTTCAGCTCTGGGAGCTCTGAAGATGCTGAGGTGAGGGCCAGATGCTGGGGCCAAACTCTTCTCAGTGATGCCCAGCAAGAGGACAAGGGGCAATGAGCCCAAACTGGAACCCAGGAGGTTCCACCTGACCAGGAGGAGAAAATTCTCTGCTGTGGGGATGGCAGTACCTGGAGCAGACTGCCCAGAGAGGTTGTGGAGTCTCCTTCTCTGGAGAGATCCCAAACCTGCCTGGACACCATCCTGGGCAACCGGGAGCAGGGGAGTTGGACAAGATGATGGCCAGAAGTCTCATCCAACTTCTACCATGCTGAGATTCTGTGAGGGGTTATGCAATCTAACCACAGTGTAAAAAAAAAAAAATTACTCAGCCTCCTCTTAGATCTTCTGCCACCTCACAGTGGGCTTGTGCCGAGGCATTTGGGAGACCGGCGCGCTCCGTGGGCTATAAGCAGCCGGCTGAGCTTGCCAACTGCTCCAGCCCACGGCTCCCCCGCTCCCAGCCCCACGCACGCCAGCATTGGCGCAGCCACTGCCCTTCCCCATCCCCACGCTGGCCATGCTTCCGTCTGCTGCCCCCAAGCTTTGTAGAAGAGATTAGCAGGGGCAATGAACCCCAAAACACCCAAGCAGATCTCAAGTTGGGCTCTCCAAAAACCCACCACTGGGTTCTCCCTCTGGTTGAAGCCAGTACTTTGAACGTGTATGAAGGGGATCTCAGATGTCCCCACCAGCCACCCAGCGGAGCTGCAAGCATGGATAACTGCTGATGAACATTCCCTACGTTTTGTTTTCACCACCAGCTTGTCACCACCAGAAATAGCAGCACGGCCACCAGCTTCCCTACTCAGCAGCCCACACTGAAAGAGCAAAGAAGCCAGCAGAGACACGAACCCACCTCCTCTGGCATTTGAGAACAACAAAATCCTGCTAAGCTGCTCTTCCCCCCACCCAATCTCTTCAAATAACTCTTTTCTACCCCTAATTTTGGGGAAAGACAGCAGCAGGGTGCAATGGCCACGCAGGCTCACCAATAATAACATGGGATTTGGAATCCTTAAGCGCTTATCCCAACTCCACCTCAGTATTTGGGAAAAACAAGCCCATGGAGAAGAGCTGTCCTGAGCGCCTCAGGTTTTTTCCCCCTTCCCTGACAGGCTGTGTTGGCTTGAACCCCAGCGCAGGGGTGGGTGAGGAGCCAGCTGGAGAGTTGCACACTGGAACCTGTGGTCCTTTGGTTGGCCACCACCATCTTCTCCATCTTACAGCTGCCAGCAGGTGGCCCGAGGGCACCGGCAACGAGAAGGTGGTTGAGATGTTCTCCAAGGTTAACAACAGGAAGGGTTGAATCATTTTCCTGGCACAACGAGTCGGTGAACAACAGGGGGAAACGCAGCTCCAACCTTCCTTTCCTTGATGCTCTCCAAGAGTCTGGAAATAAGAGGCAGGGCTGGAAAGTGACACTTTCTGGAAAGAATAAAAGCAAGTGGAGCCCACGTGTTGGCAAGAGAGCTCACCATAAAATGCACTCAAAGGGAGAAAAAAAACTCATCCTGGTGGAGCTGCTGCAATGGCAGCGGCGATAAATGGGCTTTTCCCAGCAGGCAAAGGGAGGCTGTGGGCTCTCCCCTGGGAATCTGGGAAGCCCCGTGGCCACGGGTGAGGAGCAGGATCTGAGGCATCCCCCCGGGGAGCTGAGCACAGATTCCCTCAATCCCTTCACCATGTTTTCCTGGTGATTTGTGGGAAAGGTGGATCTGCTCTTCCTTCACGCGTCAGCAGGGGATTAGCCACCACCCAGGCATTTTGTCCTCCTCTCCAGGGGGAAATCACTCACCATCCACCTAGGAAATCCTTCTTTAGGGG